ACAAAAAAAAAAAAAAAAAAAAAAAAAAAAAGAAAAAAAGAAAAAAAAAGAGAAAAAAAAAAAAAAGAAAAAAAAAGAGAAAAAAATTAAAAAAAAAAGAAGGCAAACTGAAAGATTTAAAGCTGTTCTACTCCAAAGCACATTCCACTCGCCCCAGACTTATCCCTCCACCCACTCTGCCTTTGAAAGAAAAGAGGGAGAACTTCCTAAAAACTGTTATGGTTTTAAGTCGAGGAATCTCAAAAATCTCAATCACTTATCTGCGTTTTATAAGCCGGGTCGGGCAAACAGTTAATGCAGAGGCTGAGCAGAACCCCTGGCTGGCTTTTGCTGCCTTCCGCAGCGTGCACAGACAAAAAGGCGATGTGGTGTTTGCTCATACCTTTCATCACGTGTGCACCTTGCAAGCTGCGGCAGCAGAGAAATATTCGAGAGCTGAATGAAACAGAGCAGTTTTCTCCCCTGAAACGCTTCAGCTCAAAGCTCAGAAGCGCTTTTCCATTCACACTGATAAAGAAAATTGGGGTCGGTGACTTTGGAGCCTACCTTTAATCAGAGATGAACTAAAGCCTTTGGAAGTCAGGCAAAATATAAAAATATAGACTTCTCCTCCCTCCTTCCTCATGATTTCCCTCCTGGCTGGGTTTGCCCCAAAAACAGCCAGAAAGGAGGATGTGTCTCCTATTCGCTATGGAAGGGCAAATCATTATTTCTGTGGTTGTAATGAGGTAAGACAAAGGCATTAAAGGGTGTCTTAGATAAAGATTTTGGGTGGTTTTTCGTTCTGGTTTTTTTCTTCCTTTACTTCCTTTACAGTAATCTCTGGCTATCTGTCCGTCAGTTATGACCTCATGACAACTTCTCCGGAAAACTTCTTTCAGCCCTCCCAGCTGGAAGGCAGCTCTGCTGGCTAAGATGTGCATATGGCAGAGGTTTTATCCTGGATATGAGGAGAGAAAAATATCTGCAGGATTTCCTAATGATTCCCAAAGATCTTATACAACCCTGTCTCTAGACTCCATCACTCAGAGTGCAATGCTCTGCCTCAGTCCAGCACAGAGACTGTGCAACACAGTAGATGTCCCTGGATAGTAATCTAGATAGACTGGAAGAGATTTAAGTAAAATTAAACAAATCTTTTCTAAGAAAAAAAATCATCAGAAGACCTTTTCTCATTTAGAAATGGGCAAGTTTTCCTAACAGAGCAACCTGGCATCACTGTCTCTATTAAAATATTTTAAAATAATAACAGAGAGGCAAGGCAGCAAGCTTCTACAAGCAGATGTTTAATACGACTAAATGGCACTTACATTTAAGAACCCAACTTTCTGAAGTGCTGAGCATCCAAAACACCAACCGGAGTCCCTGCATGCCACGACTGTTCAGCACTCTTGAAGTGAGGCTCTAAATGACTGTGATATCTGTCATGGCATTGCTGCTACTCCTACTGCTGCTGGGAATCTCGCAGCGTTCGTTCACTCAAGTCAACTTGCCAAGAGAAGGTCAGGGTGCCTTGCCTATAAACAAGCCTTACAAATTCACGATCTAAAGCATGATGTCATGTCTTCAAATGATAAGCTGGCAACAGAGTAAATGACATTTTGTAAAGATGTGCATAATTTTATGTTTACGCTCCTTAGAATGAAGGTTCTAATAAGTCATCGGTTGTGTTCCTTTAAAGGGAAGTTTTATAACTGAGATGAATCACAACTGCAAAAGATCAAAGTTAAAAAACATCAATGATGCCATGGGGTACTTTTTAATCTTGTAATGAATGATGATCATGTGCTCTTATGAAGTTGCTCCAACTGCCAACGCCAGATGTGTATATTAAGAAAAAAGTTGTTTGTGATGTGACAGCTCTGGTTGAGCTGCCAGAGAGAGGAAAACTAGGATAACATGCTTGAGATGTTGAAGTGAAATACAGATCCTGGCAGAGAGGGGCACTATTTACCGATACATAGTTTGTTAAGACAAACATTTTTGCTATCAGAGCCACTCCTTGAATTCCTTATTGCCCCCAACCACCTAATTTCCCTTAAGCAACATAAATGCCAGATATGCTCCTCAAATGGTTATTACCAAACAGTAATAAATCTACACAAATGCAGGGGCTCTAAGAAAGAAGCAGAACTTTGCTCAAACTCCCACAGCTCGATAGAGCTACTCTTTACCTACAAATTCAAGTTTGATAATGAATCATTCTGGAGTTGTCATAGCCTTGAAAGCATCAGACTGCAGTGACAGAAGCTGCAGAATCCAACTGACTCTAGAGTAGAGCTCCACTAAGTATTTTGCTGAAACATTAAGATTCAAATGGGCACTCAAGCTCAAAATTTACTTTCTTACAAAGTAAAAAAAAAAAAAAAGAAAAATATAAGAAAGGCACTAGCTCAGTTACTGAGCATTGCTAGGTTCAGCTATTCAATGGGAACAGCAACAGGTATCATGTACAGAGGCCTTTCAGGTGTAAACTAAAAAACTACAGTAGAACTTGGAGTTCTTATCTTAGTAAGTTCTTTGGACACAGCCTCTCTTTCAATCCACTGATCACCAGAACACTTAGTCCCCATGCCAGCAGGTTCCCTTTCTGTGCTACACAGGTTAATCCGCGCTACTCTCCACACTGTTTTCAAACCTCTCTGCTCTTTCATAGTGGTTTTGTGCTCTGCTGGGAGACCACCTCTTTTGTAGTGCCTCCTACATGGAAGCAGCCTCCAAATGAGAACTGCTAAATAACTTATTCCCCGCTTTTTACTCCATGAATGCAGCTTCTCCAGTGTCCCCCAAGTAAGCTACACGGAGCAACAACTGCAAGTGAAAACTGAAAATGGGAACTGATTCAGCTCGGAGAGAAGACAGAACGAAAATCCCCCTTCTGTGACATCCGGACACCTCAGCTGTGAGCAGGTAGCAACACAAGGATCTACGTAATGAAATTTTTTCATAGCTGTTTGCTTTTTCTTAGCTGTTATTCAAGACGAAACTCTACAGCCTGGGCAGTTCTTACAGGAGGCATTTCAGTTCTGTCTCTATGAAAGAGGAGGCGACGCTGCAGCGTGTATTAGCACGAGAAACACTTAACTGCATGAATTCTGTCTACGTCTTTCTACTTCTGTCTTTGTGGTATTTTAAACAAAACACCATGAAAGCTCCTTGAAGGTCTCGTTTGTATGTGCAGATCAAAGGTAAAATAATTATTTGAGATGCTTCCATTATAGGGATGCTTTTAATGTGGTTATTCATCAAATAATTCTTAATCTCTAAGTGTAATTTAAATAACGCTATACCTGATTAATCCAATCAATTTAGAAAGAGTCATTCTAGTCAGATTAAGAAAAAACTCCAGAACTGGCTCATCAGTGATACCCATAAGATGTGGGATCAGTTACCAGCTAAATGTGCTAGACAGAGAGACAGCCAGATAAATCCTGATGGATTAACCAGGCTTGACTGCATCTAAAAATAAGTGCTACCCATAAAACTGCTCAAACATGACAAAACACAATTGTCATAAAAATACAGCCATTGCAAAATAGATAAATCATTGCAAATATGTTCTTAGTAAGTTTGCAAGGCTATGAGAGAAATGTGCTAAGTGAAAATCTGCTGGACCATGTTTAAATAAAATAAACTTTCTGTGTACAAATAAGAAACAAAGACCATGCTGATACACTTCTTTTTTTTTTATCTTTCTTTGGCCCCTCGGGGTCTATGATGAGTCCATAGCTGAAAACCAATTTCAGGTATGATGAGATTAACCAGGTGCATTAATTATCTGATGGCAAAAGAATTTAAGGGCAAACAAAAAGGCACTATATTATATATTTTCTCTCTGCACTAGGACTGATCCTGAAAGATCAGGCTCCTGTTTTGTTCTAAACGTTTTCACTTGGAAGCTTACAGGAGTTCAGGGAATCCAGCACGTTGCAGGATTGTATCTATTATGCCTAAATCAGATTACATATAAATACAGTGGGTTTAGTTCTCATTTGCACTGGCAGATAATGTATCAAGACCTTGATGTGAATGAGAATCAGGTTTGGGATTGCCCAAATTCAGCCAAACACTTAAGTGTGTGTTTAATGCAAGTATGTGTGTGGTCCAATAGACTCCAAATTAAGCATGCACTCACATATTTTGCTGAGCAAGAACCAAAGGCTGACAAAGATATACATATTTCATTTATGGGTCTCTGTTAAGCAAAATTAAGCAGACATAAGAGAGAAAACAAGAATATAATACTCACTTCTAGGCTCTCTTGGCCCATCCACTGTAACCTTTATAGCTCTGTGGTATGTAGCGACTTGGGGGGGATTTGTCAGGACAGTTATTGTCAAAGTAAAGCTCTTCCCTACAAAGGGAAAAAAACAACAAGGAATGAGTGATTACAACATGAAAACAGTCACATGCATGTTCAGTAAAGAATCAGAGACGCTTAAAATTATTCCCTGTCGTTACCACAATCGTGAAAATTAAAAACATAACTGACCATAGGAGTTTTCCTCCCCTTCGGTTTTACTCTATGTCAAGAATACGTCCATGTGTTGACAATCTAAATGTTTCTTATTTAATAATGGGTCATCATACAATGACAGAACAAAAGTGATTCACTGCTGAGGACAAGCCAAATTCTTTGCTGTATTGAAAGTGGTGTAAATCCAAAGCAAGTCAGATAATTTAAAAATTTACTCCAGTTTCGCAGCTGTGTGACAGAGAGCAGAATGTGACCACATGTTATTTACTTCACACAGTTTTATCATTTCATTTGTTTGACTTGACTACAATAAGATGAGGAAAGAATATAATTTCCTCCTGGGAGATATTTTAACAGCGAATCAGTGTCTCCTGTCCTTCATATGCCAGGGCTAATATGATGATATCATTATTACTGGAACACACCTTTTTTTTCCCTATATATATTCCATCTATGAAATCCTAAGAAAGCCCTCAGCTGTCCCGTGAGGGTGAGAAATGTCTGTGTGCACGTACGTTACTATCGTCAGTCTGCATTGTTGGTTTTTGTTTTTTTTTAACTTTACAAAGCTCGAATTCAGGCAGAGATTGCACAAGATCATCCACAGACTCTTAACTGAATGAAAACGTTAAAAAGAAATAAATAAAGGGAGCTGCCTGCGTCTGAGCACACATTCTCACAGGCGCTGGCCCCTGTTTGGGAGACTCACTGACAGTTGTAATCTGTTAGATATGCAACGGTTAGTCATGTCAGATAGTCAAAACTGAAAACTGTTTCAAGACAGGAAAAGGTGGGCGTACAACAGTGACTCAATAAAACAGTCAGCAATCTTTGGCCTTCATGCTCATTTAAGCTGCTACTTTACCAGACACTTAAAACTCTTTCCCCTCCCACCCCCCCTCCCCTTCCCTGGGTGTATTTGTGCATTTTTGTTGCTAAGGCTTTTCCTCTTGCTGAACTCTGAAGGCATTCAATCAAGGCACAGATCTTAAACGATATGTAACAGTGCAAACTTAATGCAGTTTTTTCAAGCCTAATACAGAACAGCTTATATATAAGGCATAATACAGAACAGAGCTTTGGCTGTCAAATCTAGTAATTGGTCTTTCTTTCTGGTCCAAGTCGTATATCCCCCAAACCTGCCTGAGACATGCATCATTTATTATCAGGAGTGCAACTTCAAACTGTCTTGGCTATAATTTTCGGGAACTAGAATGTGACATGGAATTTTTTTTAAAGGAAACATAACTGTCATTTAGAGTAAAATGATTTTCCAGGTGAAGCTGTGCTCCAGCTGTGCCCAGCTCTCTGGGAGATGCAGGTTAGAGAGATGGTCAGGACCCCAGAAAATAACAGCATTTTGGAATGGTTTGGGTTGGAAGGCATCTTAAAGATCATTTAGTTCCAACCCCCCTGCCATGGACAGGGACAACTTCCAGTAGACCATGTTGCTCCAAGACCCATCCAGCCTGGCCCTGAACACTTCCAGGAATGGGGCAGCCACAGCTTCTCTGGGCAACCTGTTCCTGTGTCTTGCCACACTCACAGGGAAGAATTTCTTTCTCATATCTAATCTAACCCTGCTCTTTTTCAGTTTAAGTGTGCAAAAATCACAGGAGTCTGAACTTTGTCCAGTGGCCAGAGCTGAAGGCGGCTTTCCCCAGTTTCACTGGGAAAGGGATTATTTCTCAGATCATCACAGGAGGAGAGTTAGGTGTGTGTAGGATGTCCAGTCTTCGTCCAGTCTCGCCCATCTGCTGTCCCAGAGGTGAACTGTGTGTCCTGCCCTCATATGGTGGGTGTGTGGGCAGCAGCAGCCCTGCTCAAGCACACAGTTCCTCCGTGCATGCTTGTTTAGGGCTGAGGAGAGTCTATACCTTTTATCCCTCTCCAAGGATGAATTCAGCCTACTGCTTGGACATATATAATTCTCTAGGTACAGGTTTAAGGCTTCCTTTTGCACCAGCTTATCATGTCAGAAAGTTCTGACCATTAAATTTTATGCTGGTGACATTCAGATTACAGTTACCTCTGGAAAATCAGTAGAATATTATTGGTAACAAAGATACTAAAGAGGCATTTCTATATACCTTTGAATGAAGAATTTGGCCTTCCATGCTACCATTCCCTTTATATGCCAAATCCATACAAAAGTCTATCATGACAGAAAGAATTAACTCAACAAAATATACTAATTGTAAGATGCTGTAAAATCATTCTGTAGAAAAGCACTGCAAGGTTTTCTACACTAAATATAACTCAACAGGTTACAGTGGCCAGAAAAAAAATGAGTTTCTTAATTTGAGGAGTTTGGACCTCAACAGCGAGAATTTCTGAACTGTCACCTCTTAGTCAGCCTAAGCTGAAGAGGTGAGCAGCTAATTTGAAGGAGAAACTGGTTTTGTTCCCTAACTGGTATTTTACCAAACCAAAGCATGGATGTAGTAACACCAACGAAGCCCCCTCGCACTCCATAAACCACAGAGCACTTCATTGTGGGGAGCTGCACAGCCCTGCCAGCACACTCTAGAGCTTTCAAGAGATGATTTACATATTACAGGACTAAGAATGAAATAAATTTTTACTGTTCTTCACTGTTTCAGTGATGCTGATGCCTTCCACAGCTATTTCACAGATATCCCTCCTCAGCTACAAAATCCTTTAATGCACTTTTTATCACCTTTCTTTATTGCCCTTAGTCACTTCAACTATCCACTTTCAGAGGCTAAAGACTAATTGTAGTTCTCTTTTATTAAATTCCCCAGCCAAGCAGTCATCTGGCACTATTGCTTCAGTGTGTCTAAACTGTGCATTCTTTGTTATTCACACATGTGAGCTGAGCTGACACAGAGGAGGACGAGATGGACATATGCTGAAGCACAAGGCAAACCCCAGAAATGATCTTGAAAGGAGACTCAGCAGCTTGTGTGTGCGTGTTGCATATTTTTTCAGTTAGATGCTAATGTGATTAAAGTATCGGGACACAACAAAATTAAGGTTATGATCCTTTGCTTATTGAAGACAGGAATTCTTTCTTCTATGCGCTGTGGATCAGGCTTGTAAAAGTGAGCTACTGCCTGAAAACCACATACAACAACTGCTGCATTTGCATCAAACACTCTGGTTACTTATTCTTATGAATCCAAAAATGGCTTTTAGGAGAAATTATACAAACAGAAACGTGAAGCTTCTGTCAGGCAAGCAACATAAATATGTATCAAAATCGAGTTTCTCCATTGAGCCATGGGAAGCAAGTAAAAACGTGGGAGAGGAGGTGAAGTGGTAAGTTGATTCAGACTTCACAATCAAATTTAGAGATACAGAGATCAAAGCACGAGCTGCTTAGAAAGATGTAAATCTGAAGTCAGGAACAGGTGTGGATTAGTTTCTTGCCACCAGAAAAGGATTTCTTTATTACTTTATTTTTTCCTGTTCTGCTTCAAGACTTGTGTTTACCGATATTTGTCTATGTAAGGAGCTTTCTCACTTCTGTTTGCAACCACTGCTTTCTTTTCCTGGTATTTTAAGCAGAGTCCTAAAAATCTATCATTAATGATAACTCTTTCTCCTTCTCTCCTTCTCTCTCTCTCTCTCCTTCTCCCCCTCTGTGTTCTAAGTCTGGAAGACAAGTCTGGACCAATTTCTCCATCCTGCCTCTGGCAGCAGAATGCAGCATTTCAGATCCTCCACCGAGTCCCGGCTGCTTCAAAGGAAAAGCCCTACTTTCTTCCGTTAAGATCATAAGAAATATAGGGGGAGGGGGTCAGCTCTGTTTGGACATAATTACACTTCATCAAAAGAAGCTTTCTTCATCTTCCATGCGTGAAAAGTCTGCAAGCAGTTAAGTCTGTCTTTTTTCTTCTTTTTTTTTTTTTTTTTTTTTTTTTTTTTTCTTTTTTTTTTTTTTTAAATATAAAAATTGCTATTTGGGAAACTGGCCAAAACTCAGAAAGCCAATATAGTAAAACAGTGCACACCCTTTGTTTTTCTTTGAAGTCTCTTAAATAAATATGTTGAGGGTTTGAAAAGTACACTATCACTTTTCCATAGATTCTACCCAGATTGATCAGAGAGAAAGTCTATTCCAAGTCTGCTAGATAAAAATATAAATTAAACTACTGGAACCAAATTTTAGGAGGTTTGTGTTTGTGTCTGTAGCTGTATCCATGGAGGCTTTAGGCCTTTATTTAATTTCCTATGCTTTAATAAAAAGTATATATCGTGGGTTTGAAATTAAATTCACAGATCAGAGGTAGTACATCACATTTCTGTCCTTTTTCAGCACTACTGAAAAACTGATACACCACTGAACTTCTACTGTAAGGCAGCAGTAGAGATGGAGCCAGAGAACTTTCAAACCTAGTCCATCAGCAGAATAACAAAGTAAACTGTTTTTCTAAAAGAAAGGAAGACAAATGGAAGAGATAGATAACTCCTTGTTCACAAGGGGAATAAACTCTGTATTTATACTGCATTACTGTTGCAAAAGTTATTCTGTCTTTCAAGTTATTCTTTATTACCAACACTTTGCAAGTTTTAAAATGATCAAGAGAATTTTGGGCCAGGCCACTAAAATAAAGAATAGTCACTGTAAGCCATGCTTATGGACTCACTCTCACAAAACGCTTGTAAAAATGTGCTGACAGATTTAGACTATCTGGGCCTCTGTCACATGTTTAATTTCTTTTCGGAAAAAAATTCGTTCCTTCTTTAAGATGAATTGCAACTGCTTTCTAAGGAATATTACTGTAAAATTAGCTTTATTGCTAATTTCCTAGCATAATTGTTCTGCTTCTGTTGCTTTGGTTTGCCCCATGCAGGGCTAGTTTAGAAAAATGAATAATTACTTCAAATACATAAAGGAAAAAAAAATTGTAGGTTGAAACAATGACTGATACAACCAAACATTCTGAAGATTCATGCAGTAAGAACTGCAGTGCCAGCTTCCTTCAAGATATCCTTTCAATCACTACCTGAAGTTTGAAAGCAGCCATGAGATCCTTAAAGAGGAATTCTTGCAAACTTGCAATGATTACAAAGGCTTTCTGTAAGTACAGTGCCCTTCCTTATAGGAAGCTCCTAAACAGCTGGAAGACAATGACAGCACTCTACAACTTCAGAAAAAAAATAAAATTGGAAGCTACCATGTCATATAAACTAAAGTTAACATTGAGTTCAAGCCCAAACTTACCAGCAATTCATAAAAACTCAACCAGCTTACTAAAAAGATTTTCACAGGGGTGATTTTCACAGGTTATCAGCAGTTTGATCGTAAAGGGCAGAGAAGTCACTAGTAAATTTTCCACCAATAGCTGTTAAGCCTTGAAAGATCTAAGTCCTTAAAGAATACAACCTATAGCACGTGTGATATGCAAAATCCCCCTAATTACAAGTCTTCTACAACAACTTCAGAAGCAGCTTTACTGCTAAAGGGAATTCACCTCTCACTGCCACGGACTGAGATACACTTTTTGACTCCACATAACCCAGATCACACATATGCCCTATTCCTTCCACCCTTCCTGTGTGATTAAAACAGGAAAGCGGGTACTCTGTGAATCATTTTTCAAAACCTGTGTCTGATAAAAGACTACAGAGACATGAGGAGTCAGAAAAACTGAAGAAAACTCTTAACTTACTTTGTGCAAATGCTGAAGTTTGCCACCAAAACACGTGTATGCCCCTCCAAATGAAAGGCTGACAACCTGAACAACCTGATCTAGTGGAAGGTGTCCCTGCCCGTGGCAGAGGGTTGGAACTAGATGACCTTTATGGTCCCTTACAACCCAAACTTTTCAATGATTCTATGAACAATGGGTTTATGGATTAATCAGTGTTTCGTTGCAGAGTAAGCCTGACGTCCAGACATTGTTTTTCACTTCATTTTGGACACATAAAAGGCAGTGGCCTACCTCTTCCACTTCTGCCCACAAATCGTAAGTCATTAAATCTGGCCACCTGGTTCTTCATCACGGCAGACGCGTTTCGCAGCTCTGCAGAGTAATTCTCGTCGTTTCCAGCCATGACAGTGACCACTGTCCCATCGGGCACTTCTCCTAAGGCCACCACCTGTAAAAAGGGGAAGACAATCACAACTGGTGAAGCCACACTTTGGAAGCGTGTGTCTCCCTTCCAGCTTTCCAGGCTGCCACGCTCATTATGAGGCTCCGTGGCAGCTTCTCCAGCCCGCTGCGGCGAGGAGTCTTGCCCTCGCTGCGCACAGAACAAAGTGCCACATCAAACACAGAAACATCATGTATTGTCTCCCTTTCTCAGTGCCTGACAGGGAGTTTCTTCTTTGTTGCATTTCTTCAGAAACATTCAGTGTCCTTATACAGAGTGTTTGCTTTAATGCTTCCTGAAGGCCAACTTTGTTCTTAGCAACCAACGAGCAGCGAGAGAACACGAGGCACGGCTCATATCCATAAATTATACATGGGAACATTTGAAATGGAAAGCTGGAAATTACTATTAGCAGCCTTATCACCCAGAATCGGTTCTACTTCTCTGTTGTTTACACCCATCACCCCGACCCCCGAGCTCCTCAGACTTCAAGCCAGAGAGAACCCCACACCCACCCATCCCAGAAGTGGCACTCAGGGCATCAGTAGACAAAGCTCTACGCCCAGCACGCTCTGGGATGGAGCACTTTGTGGCTGGAATTCAAACTCTTCAGATGCAATATAAAACAAAGCTGTATTTCCTTGCAGGCATGTAAATTTTCATAGTGCTCGCAAGAGTCACATGTGGTTAGTGCTGATACCTCCCTCAAATTCCAGGATGGGTGAAGAGAAGATATCAAAGTATTTCACTTCTCCTTACGTTCCAGCTACCTGATAGTCTCACTTTTATGCTTCAGTGGTTGAGTAGTGCTCCAATATCTGAGTAGATAAATGTCACAGAGCAGACAGCTTCTAATTTGAAAACACCAGGGATTCCTACAGTGTACTGTGACTTTTTAAATTAAAAATAAAGGTAAACAGGAGTTAACTGACTAGGAAGAAAATATACACATGGGGGGAAAAAGTCCACAAAAGTATGAATAAAATAATTTCCTTTTCCCTGTTTATGGAAATAAATTTATAACAAAAAGAGATTCAGAAATATAGCATGGCTGAACTCAAACTTGAAAAAATACCTTGAGCTACAAAGTGTCTCCACTTGCAGTTTCTACCAGTTTACATGGTCAGATATGACTTCTTATATTATTCAGAGTAATTCATTCTGTCTCCGGAAACATGTATTACATTTTGTGATACGGCCTGCTTGAAATGTCTTTCCTATAAATGATCCTGGCTGAAACTAATAATTGCAGGTTGCACGGTGATATTAATTCAGTGGAAAGAATTAGGAGCTCTGGATATGCAGGGAGAGCATGTGGCCCAGTACACTGTACAGTGTTTCTCTCAAATGATAGAAACAAATTACAAAGGTATAAAAAATATGAAAATATTTGAAATAGGCCATATTACTGAAAAGTACAGCTTGTCTTATTTAAAAGAAATATTGAATCGAAAAAAGCAAGCAAAGCTGAAAGTCTTTTTTTCCATAAACACCAGGTAATACCACCCAAAACTGAAAACTGAGTTTTGCCACAAACTAGTGTGAGGTTTTCATCTATCAAACAGAGATTTTACTTTAAAGTGATATGAATGTCCCTCGACATAAAAACAGAGGAACCACTGCTGTGGGCAAGATCTGAGGTCTCACTAACTCTCTGACTTGGGTCTGGCAGCAACCAGATCTGACAGCTTCAAAGCCAGGTGTAAGGAATAATAAATAATAATCAAATAACAAACAATAATCTGCTGAACAGATTATAGAGCTGACTCTAACAGTTAATAAATGGATACTGGCTTTAAAGCATGGGGCTTGAGACTACTTATAAACCACTCCCTTCCCAGCCTGCGACACACCACGTTATCTCTGGACGGTCTTGTCTCGCCCATCAGCATCCCAGGGAGTTGCACCCTACACTTTTTATATCTCACAAAACAACAACAAAAAATCACATTAACTCCAGAAATGCAAAGAATCTGAGAGCTCAGGAGGAAGCACAAGGCCGCCAGGAGCCTCGGGAGAGGGAGCAAGATGCCTGCAGCCTCAGGTCACCTCCTTCTCCCCAGGTACCCAGAGCACAGACGGGCAGTGCCATCACAGCTCCATCACAGCCCCAAACACAGTTACAGTCTATAACACCTGGACAGGAGGGAGCAAAACCTCTTAAAAAGCTCCCCTCTGTCCCCTGTTGCTTCTCAGAGCTTTCCTGCCTGCCCCTTCCACTGGACGTCAGTTCAATTTGTCAGCTCAGCCGTCAGCCCAGAGCTGCACGTGCTGCTGCCATCGCCGGGCAATCGCACCTAATCAAGAGCTGCATCGGTACTGAGAGGCTTTGGATGCAGCATGATGCAATATCACTATTCATCTCACTCAGAGGAGACCCAAGGACAAGACAAACTGAAATCAGGGGTGAAAATAAAATCTTTGGCTAATAAAATAAAATCCTATAACGTGGGAAGATCCCCTGCCAGCCAACAGGAGTAAAATGCGTGTTCCTTTCATAATTTGATACTTTTTTTTGCCACAAAATACCAGAGGACTACTGCACAGGTACATAGTAGATCTGGATAGAAAAAAAAAAGCTTTGCAAAACAAGTTTGAAACCTGGAGAAATACACGTCATTTTGAGAATTTTAAAAAGTAACTGTACCTGCTGAAAGACTGTTGGCATAAATCTTTATTTGGCAATTTTATACCATGTATCAATACAAAATTAATGACATATTCTTAGAAAGAGGATTGTAAATGCACTGTTAAATGAGTAAAGACTGTGTAAAAAATTAAAGATGAGAAGTGATGAGAAGCAGCCACAGTGCATTCCTTACCTATTCTTTGTCTCAGTGTCTCTACTATTTCAACACATTTATTTCCCATTATAAACTCTCTACACATTTCTAGGACTAAAGGTAGATTTTGCCTTTGCCTTTTTTTTTTTTAAAACCAAAGCTCAAAACGGTACATAAAGTCAAATGAAGTCCCAAAATAAAAGCAAACCAATTCTTACAAGTTGAAAATAACTATGTGTTTTTTGCATAACACAATTCTCATCTGGTTAGGCAACCTGTTTGCCCAGTTTCGGTCCAGTGGGATTTGAACTGGCCAAAGCATGTACCCTACAGACGGAAGTTATAGGCACAAAGCAAAACTAGTACACAACAGCAGGTACTCGGACTTTCTGCAGAGTAAAAAGCTTGTTTAAAAAAACCCCCACCAGGGTACATGCTAAATAGTTCCTCCCAAACATTGGTATCTGCCACTTCAACAACTTTCTTGCGAAACACTGAAGTCAAACTGCCTCTGAATGCAAAATCTTCTGTATTGAGAATGCTTTTTCCAGAGATTGCCAAAAGAGCATCTGATACTATTAAAAATATTTTAATGTTCTGTAAGTTAAAACAGAATAACTGATTCGCGCTACTTTTTGTTTCAAAATGTACATCTGGGCCGACAATTTATACAGCAGGTTTCAGCTTGAAGCTATTTAAAACAGCTGAGTTATAAACTCTGAAATTTGGGGTTTGGAGTGGAAATGCTGACAGACCCAGAACTACTGTGGTGCTACTGGGGAGAGGTTTTAGACTCCATGTCCTGTTTTTCCCCCTGCCTTTAGGTCCACTAAGACTCTTTGCTACTATTAGCATCGTACAGAAGTCACTTGTAACCTCTAACGTGGCAATTTGAATGTTTATGATTTGCAGTAAAAACTCCCACAGAGGGGTCAAGTTCTGATGACTTGACTCAAATAAAGTACCACTGGCTACTGAGATTAAGAAGTGAATATGATTTGGACCCAGGTGCACAATATGCATTTATTTTGTGCTGGAATATGAAGAGCTAGAGCTGTAATAATAGGTACCCATCTAATCCTCTTCCCCACAAAACCAGTTTGCATTAATAATCTTATTAGAGAGCACACGACAGGGGCTCCCTCCCCAGTGTGTGCAAATATTAATACTTAAAATTCAAACCTAATGCTAAGCCAACACTATTTCAAAAAATTATAATCAAACCCAGCACTGTTTATAACATACTTCCTCTCCTGCATATGATTTATATCTGTTTTTTTAAATTAAAACAGTGCTATATCGAGTGTACATTTTCACTGGGGATTGCTGCAAGAGAATTATGACACACTTAACACACCACTCAAAACATTATCATCAACATATTATTTATTGCCAATAAAACTTCACAAAGTGTGTTGTCTGTGAGCTATTTCACTTTCAAGTTATGTTTAGCTGAGATTTCTATAGCTCAAATCTGTCTTTTCTTTCCCTTTCAGAGCTAATTCCCATTCTGTTATAACACAGTCAAGTGTTTCACTGGATGATACATGCAGCTTCTTTGGTCTAAAACTACTGAGCAACTGCATGAAAATTACATTTGAAAAATGAAATAAATTTTTAATAAATAGTCAAAAGTATTTCAAATGAGTTTCAAATTAATTTACCAGTAAATAAGGGTGAATGTAATTTAGGAATAATTTTTAAAAGGACGTATTGCATGCGAAAACACAGCTGCACCCACAGTGGAAGGGTGCAAGGGGCAACGTGTGCCCTAAAGCATCAGTAAATCAGTCAGATCTGCACTGCCCTGTCAGCAGTCAAATATAGGAGACAAACAAATAAATACATATATATGAACACAAAAAAAGATTGGGAAATGGTCTAATCCTTTTTCTATCCTTTTATCACACGTAGGCATTCTTATTGTAATAATATTCTAAATATTCTAATATTTAGTTTAGGTCTTTCCCTTATTCTAATGAGCTGCGACCGCATCCTTTGAATTGCTGTGAGGAAGGAGAAGGCTCAGACACCTCAAATGAGAACAACGCCAGCACGATAATGCAACAGCTTTCGCGTCCCTTCTTTAAAGAGTAACTATAATGCCAACTTAATCTAACTCTCAATTAAATTAGAATCACAATTCTGCAAAAGCTCCTCCTCCTCCTCACCCTGCAGCCCCTGTGAATCAGAATAACCGTGATCCACACCTAGAGAGACTGTGAGTGCTCCACCGAGTCACAAAGTCAAAAGACACCCCATTGTTCTGCCATTCCTACTGAGTCCGACCATCCTGTCCTGCATAAGCAGGCCCTGTGCAAAGGGTTCCTCCCGTAATTCCAGCCTCTCCAAGCTGTTCCCACACACACAAGCACTTTAGTGAACCCTCACCCGCACACCCGTAAGATTTTCAAAGCAAAGCTCTATCTTTATCACCACTCACTTTAACACCAGCTCATTTAACCACTTCTACTATTTTTTCCTGGATAAACGGTCATGATAACATGGCTGGCAGTGGGGAAACACAACAACGAGGCTGTGTTCTGAAACGTGCTGGGTGAGACCATTTCCAAACTTTTCTGCCCTTTGAGGGATTTCCAGGCACGTTATTTTTCACAGGAAAACGTTGGTATGATGAGGCCCTCAAAGGGCCAACGCACCTCGCTCCGACCCCACATCCCACTCGGACAGGTGCTTGGGGACATCCCCAGCCATTGCCTGCTCCCTACCAAAGGCCACTTGGGGAAAAACTCCAGGGGCATGCTTGGAAGTACTGCGAGGGGAGGAAAAGGGCTTGTTTTAAAGCATGCAATTACTGTTGTTATTATTACAGTTTTTGTAAAAAATCGTTTCCTCTCATTAGTGCGCCGTGGGGATGGAGACAGAAAATTAAAAGCAGCATCCCCGGTGCAGAGCAGGGTGGGATTTATTATGGAAACGTGCGACCCTGCCAAGGAGAGCGTCTCTGGGTAGCCACTTCCTCGCTTGTCCACCAGGAGAAGTGAAGGGACCTCGTGTCCCCCCCATCCAGGAGCTCTGCGTCCCCCTTCCCAGCCCCATCTCAGCCCGGGATGTTGGAGGGCAAAGCCGCGATCCCACTCTGCAACCCCAGCCTGAACCTCGGACCCCACTCCGCCTTCCCGCACGCTTCAGAGCCACCCCAAATCCCCCAGTCCCACTCCCGGGAGCGGAAAGGAAGGAAGGGACACCTCCGTGGGTCAAGGACTGGGTTTCTCGAGAGAGGGGGGGCACCCACTTTGCCACACTGAGCTCGCCCCTTCCTCAGGGAGGGCACTCAAGGTTTGGGTTTTTTTTTTTTTAAAAAAGGCAAGCCCAGAGACAGAGGGGGCAAGGAGTGTCTCCGGGGTGTTTGATGAGGGGGGCACAGGGCGCCCCGGGGAGGACACGCCGGCAGTGCCCCGCGGGGATGGAGATAACGGGATGGCTCCGGGGGCACGGAGGCCGTGGCAAGGGTGAGGGGGGCAGAGCAGACCTACAGGGGGCACAGGAAACGCAGCAGGACGCGGGGCACGGGGACCACTGCAGTTGGAAGGCACTGCGGGGGTGCACCCCGACACATTGCGGGATGGGGAGTACAGGGGACACAGCAGAACGGGGACGGAATATAGAAGCCACTGTAAGACTTGAACACTTGGGGGGGGCGGCGGGAATACAGGAGTCATTGCAGACTGGGGGGTCAGCGAAGCCCCTGCGGGCCGGGAGCGGGGGGAACAGAAGGCATTGCAGGATGGGGGTGCACGGGGAGGCACTGCAGGACTGGGGTGGGGAGGGGGGTACAGGAGGCACTGCAGCCCGAGAGGCACCGGAGACATTGCTGGGGGGGCGGGGGGAGACAGAAGCCCCTTGCAGAAGGGGGAACACAGAAGCCCCTGCGGGGCGATGGGGCACAGGAGACGCTGCAGGAGGGGGTGCGGGGGACACAGAAGTCCCTGCAGGCCGAGGAGGGGGGGGGAACACAAAAGTCCCTCTGGATCTAGGGGAAACAGGAGGCACTTGAAGGACGGGGGGCGGAGGGGCACAGAAGTCCCTGCGGGCCGGGGGTCACAAAAGCCCCTGGAGGACGGGGGAGGAGGGGGCACCGGCGACACTGCGAGACAGACACAGAGAAATCCCTGCGGGCCGGCGGGGCACAGAAGCTCCCGCGGGACGGGGATCACCGGAGACACCGCGGGCCGGGAGTTGGCACAGAAGCCCCTGCGGGTGGAAGCGCAGCCGGCGCGGCGTGGGGGGAGCATCCCCGGCCGGGGCGACTGCGGGAGGGGGGTGTCTCACCTTGAACGCCACCGGGAGGGTCTTGTTGCAGCGCCAGTGCGAGGGCAGGACGGAGCAGAGGAAGTTGGGGCTGTCGGTGCGGACCAGCTCGGCGGGGTGGTCAGCGATGATCTCCACCATGGTGCGGTTATCGTGGGGGCGCAGCCGGGGCACGGCGGCCGCCGCGTCCTGCTGCTGCTGCTGCTGCTGCTGCTGCTGGGCGACCACCACCGGGCTGACCTCGCTCATCTTGCCGGGCTGCAGGCTGCTGGAGGGGGGGCTGAACCTCCGGCTGGTGCTGGGATCTACGGGAATACGCATCACAACAGCCACAAGTTAGCGAATTGGGGGGCGGGGGGGGGGGAGCGGTAGGGGGATCTCTCGTCGAGGAGGCGTGTAGTGGGGGGTGGGGGTTGTAAAAAAAATAATATATGTATATATAGCGAAAAAAAAGGGGTGAGTGAAAAAGTGAAGGGGTGAGGATAAGGGTCAAAAAAGCAAAACAGGCAAAAAAATAGAAAAAAAAAAGGAGCGGATTAAAAACACGAAGAAAAAAAAAATCTCAGTCTGGTTTTGGTTTGTTTTGGTTTTTTTTTCTTTAAGAAAGACGGACAGGGCGGGGGGTGATGCCGGTCTGGGGGCGCCTGCAGCCCGGAGCAGCAAGGAGGCAGAGTCTGGCGGTTGGTCCGGGGCTGCCCCTCTCAGCACAGCCCGGCTGGAAACTGCATGGTCCCGGCTTCTGCCCAGCTGCAAAGCGCTGCTGCTTCTCCTCCTCCTTCCTTCCTTCCTTCTCGCACAGTCTCTCTGCTCTTTTCCCTCCTTCTAGCCACCGCTTCTTCCCTCAAGTGCTTGAGTTTCTTTCCTTTTTTCTTCCCCTCCCTCCCTGTCCTCTTTTCCTTTTCGGATTTTCCAAATATTGTCTTGGGAAAAGTAGAACTCGCTGCTGGTTCAGCTTCCTGGGCTGCTGCTGCTGGTGGCCGCCAGAATCGGAGCGTAACTCAGCCCCGGAGAGGAGAGGAGAGGGGGGGTTCAGGGGAACGTCCCGGTTTCCTCCGAGGAAATCTTCCTCCTCCGGACACACACGCACACACACACACACAGACACACACACACAAAAAAAAAAAAAAAAAGGAGCAAACAAAAAGCCTCGCTGGGACAGAAGCGAGGAGCCGCTGAGTTCTCCCGCTTATTGCCTTTGGCTTCAGGAAGCGGGAGCTCGGGAAGGGGCTTGGGAAAAGTGGCTCCCCCCTCCAAAAAAAAAAAGGTGCTCCCGAAGCAATTTCGGCGTGGAAAGAAAGTGAATGGGGTTGTTGGGGTGAAGAGGAAAGTCACAGGGCTGATAATTAAAAGAGAGACTTTTTAGCCAGTTCCTTTGGGAGGATCAGGACTTAAGAAAAGTTAAACTTTCGGATTCCCAGGGAAAAAAAAGCGGGGAGCATAGTTGGAAAAAAACAAACAACACAACAATAAAACACCCCTCCTTAGGCTGATTTCTAAAATATGACCAAGTAAATTCTGGGAAAAGGCAGCCTCGGTGCAGCCCAGTCCTTCACATGAAGTCGCTGCTGGATCCAAGTCCGTTGAGTTGAACAGGCGAAGAAAAATCTTGCTTTTTTTTTTTTTTGCCCTTGATGAACAACGGCAGCAAAAAAAAAAAAATCATTAAAATGTCGCTTGGTTTGAGTTATTTTTCTTTCTGAAAAATCGGGTTAAAAATAATAATAATGAAAAAAAAACAACCAAAAGCAACAAACTTCTTTTGGGTCCCAAGAAGTTGAGGTCGGGGAAGATGAAGGAGCCGGAAAAAAAAACCAAACCCACGCCACAGTTTTTTTGTCCTGAATGTGGTTTTTGGAGGCTGGGATTTCTAATGATTAGGTTTTTGTGGTTTATATATACAGGACTCTCTGGCTAAGGCGATCATTATGCTGATGAGAGTCAGCAGCACGTGGTGTTTCAGTCCTCAGACTTCTGCAGCCTTCAAAATAAATAAACCAATGTGCATCCCCCCCAGGAGGAGAAACTCTCACCCACGGGGAGGGGAACGGGGAAGGGGGGGAGCAGGAGACGGTCTCGGATCTCCACTTCTCTCCGGGTTTTTTCCATTAACACTTTTGGGCTTGTTTGTTTAAAAAAAAAAAAAAAGGCATGAAAAATCTTGTTTGCAAAAAAAATAATAGTGAGAATAATCTGGTGCCAAAGGGTTTTTTGCTAAGTCTCCGGTAGTCTAAAGCCTAAACCATTTCCTTGAATGAATGAAAGCTATAAAACCCCCTTCAGACTATTAAGGTAAAGGGAGTCTGGTTTGTTTTCTCCCTTAAAAAAAAAAAAAAGGGCAGATCTTATTAAAAACCATTTACATACCCAATGGTATGAAAGTGTCACCGCCTCCCCGCGCAGATAACAGCCTATCACAACCCGCCCTCTAATTTCTAAGGCTTTACTCCGACTTGCTACTTCCACCTTCTTGTAAAAAGTCGGCGCCGCGTGTGTGCTCCTTGCTCGCCGCCTGTGTGTGACTGGGGGCGGTGTGTGTGCGCCTGTCTGCGCTGAGGGGTGCGCGGGATGCGGCCCTTCCACGGAGCCCTTCCAAGCCCCAAGCCCGGCACCGCCGGCTTGTCCCGTCGGATCCTCCGCCAAGCGCCCGGCGAAGCCCCCCTGCGCTCGGGGGTGTCGGTGTGCGGGTGGGTGGTGGGAGCACCTCCGGGGCTGTTTCCACACCCGCGGAGCCTCCGCGCCCTCCTCCCGCCGTGCGGCAGCGCTGCCCCCCGCGCCCTCCTGCACCCCCTACCCCCAATTTCTGCCGCCCCCGGGCAAACCCCGGCTGTGCCGGGGGGGAGGTGCGAGCAGAGGCGGCAGCGGCTCCTGCTCCGCTCGGCTCCGGAGCAGCAGAACAACCCGCAAGCTCCGCCGATCGGTCACAGGGGAGAGCTCTCGCTCCGCGCACCGCGGCTGCGGCTGCGGCCCCGCTCCGCGCCCGCCCAGCCCCGGCTCCGCCAACATCCCTCCATCCCTGCGCCCCGCGGCTTTCCCACGCCTCCCCCGGCGAGCGGCACCCCCCGACCCACTGCCCCGCAGGGATCTGTGCCCCCTGCTTCTTTATTTCCTTTCTTTCCCCCACTTTTTTTTTTTTTTTTTTTTTTTTCCGGTCCTAAGGTTGGAGGGGCTCTGGAAGTTTTCCACCCCGTTGTGAAAATCCGATCCTTGCGGATAACGCTGCAAAGCCCTGCTGAGCTCGCCCCGCTTCCCCCGACAACCACAGGGATCCGCTTTTCCCCAGAAGTGGCCACATGCGTCTCCAAAGCACAATTACTCATCACCTATACGGACTGGTAGATATGCCGAAGCTCTGGTTTGCTACGGTTGCGATACAGAAAATACATTTTTTCATAATTATTTTGGTAAAATGTTTATGTCCGTAGATTCTTCTGCCTTTCTCCACCCCCTCCTTAGCTGGCTCTAATACACTCCGTAAGAGCCATTCCAAAAGCACTAGAAAGAAGGCGAGAGATTGGTTTATAACTAAATGCTATATAAGCCTGACAATCACGATTTATTTCATTTCAAACTAGAAGATATGTTTCCACTTTTAATTAGTCACACCAAAAATGTTACAGTTGCCTGTCTTCCTACTAAAATAAAATAAAAAGTTAATTAGGATAAACTAAACTAAGCCATTGGAAGCTACCAGTTTAAGTCACTTAAAATAGTCCAGGGTTATTTATAATGTCGAAATAAAATTTTCCACTGAACGCCCTAACAAAGTTTCAGGTATCTGGCACAGCTGATTTTCAGTCTCTGTGCAAAAATATCTTTCTGCTGAACATTTACACATTTAACAGGAACTTACTACAGCCTGGAACAGAACACAGCTCAGAGCTCTAGGATTTTATTTAAATGGTTATGGACAAATTAATAAAAGTACCAGTAATGTTTATGGACCTACATAAATGCTGGATGGCATTTTTCAGAAGAAGTCATTCATGTTATGATATATATAATCTGGAACATTGGCTTGGATTTGGCTGAAATGGAGAGCAACCCTGCTGTTCGACTTTCCTCGGGTTTTATTTCAGAACTTCTGGGAATTTTAGCACCAGTTGCAAAATGGGTCATATTTTAAGATCTCAGAGAATTGTAGGAGGTTGGTGAAAAAAATGTGCTTGCGCTGCAAGTTACGTCTTCACAAACACCTTCAGATCCACTTTACAAAATCGGATTTTCATTAGTACGGCTGCCCTTGCTGCAATTTAAATTTTCTTTTAGCTTTTTCACTTTTAACTGTGTTATGAATACAGCCATAATTAGATTGCTTTTGGACAAAAAGAGAATGTTTTAAAGAGCACTGAGTTTGTTTACCATCACATTTATAAAGCACGGGCCCAGCACGCACCAGCTGTAAGCACTGCATGCTCAGATGAAAAATAATTATCAGATATGAAACATTCTAACCTGGATGATGTTCCCTAAATAAATAGTTTCGATGCCAGCTTGGTGGGCTGGAATGTGCTGGAAATACGAGGAATACCGAATTTATTTCGAGCCTTTCTATGTATGCAAATAGCCTTTGTGAAACGGGAATAAATGAATGGGTTCACTGGGTTTGTTATTGTATTGGATATTTTTAGCCAGAGCGACTACAGCAATGTCAGCAATTATTACTATGGTGAAGGAATTGCCAATATTCTCCTTTCCAACATCTACCTTCCCAAAGTTTCTTATTCACTCGTGAAGAGTGCATCGAGCCAAAATATGTGAACTTAAGTAAACTTAATGCTAGAGCAGGTTTTGCCCAAGTTTCCATTCATTTCAGTAGGGGCGAGATAAGCTCCAGTGTCTCTTGGCAGTGCTTTACTTTCACTTTGGTTGGAAGTTGACTGTTTGCCCAGCTATTCTTTGCTTTTTCTTAAGTATGACAAATAGTAATTCTAGATTAGCACGTTACTCGGTCTGCTAAGTAGGCGTGTGGTAATGAGCTCTGCAACTACAGCATTCTTACTCAGACTATGGACTACTACGGTTTGTTTAACTACTGTGTCCCTGCCCCGTTGATTTACAGCCCAGATAAAAGAAGTTTGTGTCCTGAAATCAGTCAAAAGCATTTAATATTTCAGCACCGTGCACAGGTTTTTAGTGTTTATAGTGCCCAATACAAACAGAAGCATAAAGGTTTGAAAGACAGGCTAGAAAATGATTACATTAAGAAAAAAATCAATCTTGAGAATACTACTTTTTCCATGAGTATTTTCAGTAGGAAGTGAGGACTGAGAGCTGTGACTCTTGTGTTCTGTCTCAGGATTTGATC